GTTCCCAGAAGCCCTGAATCTCAAGACAATGTGAGAACTGCTCATGGAGTGTTTACAATGAAAGGAAAACAATTGATTATATAATGGACAAGCAACTGTGGTAGATTATGGATTATGTCCCATATCATTACACCTCCCCTTTTTAGTTTCCAAAATGACGTTAAATTAAAATTTGCAATGGAACAATGTCTTATTCACATGTTGGCTAAAATGTAGTTTTTACTTCTTGTGACGGTTTATACTTTAAATCCACCCTGGTTGAAGCGGTTTTTTTAGGCAACTGAAGTGTTGGAAAATAAGGTCCTTCCTGTAAAAGTAGCTTGTAATCCACCAGAAAAAAAAAGTAAAATAAACCTATAACTGTTGCTAGTCTACACAGCAATTTAAATCAGGTGGGATCAGCCTACACATTCAGGGTGCTGCTCACCTGAAAAAGACCATTTGGAAACACAAATTCCTAACGAACAGTCTACTGTTCTCTATTTTGATTAGAGTGAAAAAGAAAAAGAAACGAACACATCAACACAATACTAGCTCAAAGCACAATCTAGCTACACATTGGCTTTGAGAAACAGTCCATGAGTTTCATATCATTCGTCACGGTAACGTGCTGGCTTAACGATGGCTCTGCCGCTTCTGCTGAATTGCGGTGCTGCCACTGCAGTTGTAGATGTCGCCTGCTGATTCTGCATTTGTGACGTCACTGGCTCCATGGACAAGTGCGATGATGGAGATGGTGGAGGCTGCTCTGGAGGGCCTCCACTGTTACTCCCAGGATTTGGAGGTAGGACCGGATCAGCATGCGTAGAAATCAGAGATTGGTAAACCTCCGAGGACTCCGACGCTGGAAACTGGATGTACGGCGACCTCAGACTGTCGCCTCCCTCTGGTCGGCGCAAAAGATGGCGCCGATTCCGCCTCAGCACGCCGCCTGCTGCTGTCTTTACTAGGTAAGACCTAGATCTAGGTGCACACTGCTTTACAACCTTGGCTAGCTGCTTCCAACCTTGTTGTCCGTCCAGTTTGATGAAAACCGGATCACCTGGTCTAAGCTCAAACAAGGCCCGAGCTCCGAAGTGTCTGTCATAGTAGGACTTTTGCTTCTGCTTGTAGACTCTGTCCTTTTCGCGTTTACTGCGCGAGGCTGTAAGACTGTGGGAAGTGTTGGGAATGTCGTCTTCATTTTCCTCCCCATCGCTAGCTCTGCCGGGCTAGCCCCCAGTCCTGGTATTGGCGTAGCTCTGTACGTCAACAATGCCAGAGCATAGTCTTCTTGCCTTAACAGGCGCTTGGACAGTTTGACTCTGCACTCTGCCGCTCCGTTCCCAGATGGAAAGTGTGGGGAACTGTTAATATGCTGGAAGTGGAAGCCCCAGTCTTGGGCAAATCGTTGAAATTCGTGTGACGTAAGATTGGTCTGATTGTCACTGACTACTGTCTCTGGGATGCCATGTCTCGCAAAGATTGTTTTCAGTTTCGTGACTAACGTTGAGACTTTCTGGTTGGGCAAGTACCCAATTTCTGAATAACGTGAATAGTAGTCGGTGACCACAACGAACGACCGACCTTTCAGTTCAAACAGGTCAAGAGCTACCTTCTCAAATGGCCTGTTGGGAAGCGGCGTTGGAAGCAGAGGCTCTTTGAGATGGGATGCTCTCTCTTCCAAGCACAGTCGACAATTTGCCACTCTTTCCTTTATGTCTTTCCCAATCTGTTGGCAGTTCTGGGTCAAAGTATGCTAGCGTCGGTGCTTCTGTCAACAGTTCCTTGACCTTTTTCACTGCTTCAATTTGAGATGGACCCCATCTTCTCGAGTAGCTCTGTCAAGGGGCGGGCAACAGTGGAGAGATTTGGAAGGTGACGCCCGACGAATTGTACCAAACCCACCATTCTGCGCAGCTCAGTCAGGTTTGTGGGGTCTGGCATTTCGATGATTGCTGACGTCTTGCCGTCATCCGGTTTGATCCCGTCCTTGCTGACGATGAACCCCAAGAATTTAATCTCATCCTTTCTCAGCTCGCATTTTTCTTGGTTCAGTTTCACCCCGGCATTCTCAAGCTTCGAAAATGTTTCTTTTAAGTGTCTCTTGTGCTCCTCTGTGTTTCTGCTGTGAACAAGAATGCCACCTTGGAAACAAATTGCTCCCTCCTGATCACCAAGAATCTGTTCTATCTTCCTCTGAAAAAATCTCGCTCGCCGAGCAGATCCCTTGCGGCAAGCGTTTGTAGAAGAACCTTCCTTCAGGGGTAATAAATGTAGTCAGTTTTGCCGACTTCTCATCAAGTGGAACTTGGAAATAGCCGCTTGTAGCATCTAGTTTGCTGAAGATTGTCGAACCCTTTAGTTTGTGCAAGACCTCTTCAACGACAGAGAGCATTTCTCACGTTTGACGGCTGCGTTCAGCTTTTTGTAGTCAGTGCATATTCTTACTCCCCCTGATGGTTTGATCACTGGCACGATCGGTGAGCACCAGTCTGTTGGTTCGTCGATTTTCTCTATGATCCCAGCCTGCTCTATTTTCCTTAGTTCTTCTTTGACCTTGCTTCTGAGGGAAATTGGGATTCTACGGGCTGTATGAATACTGTACGGCTGAGCATCTTCCTTCAACTCGATTTTCACTGGTTCAGTTTTGATAACATTTTTATCTAAGCCTCCAAACAGCGAGTCTACCCGTACGACTAGTCCCATCCTCGCTGCAGCCTCTCGGCTCAGATTTTCTGGTGCTAGCGTCACATAAACTGTCACTGGGTATTGTTTTCCTTTGACTGTAAAGTTCATGGTTGCCTTGCCGTGGCATTTCAAAACACCGCCCGGGCTTCTGAGTATTATCTTGGTTTTCTGTAGAACAGGTCTCGGCTCTAACTCAGCGAACGTCTCTGCCGTCATGATTGAGACGTCTGCACCCGTGTTAATCTTAAATTGCATTTTGTGTGTGCCGACAGCTACCTTTGTTTTCCATGGCGCTTCATTACTTTTAGTTTCTATTGACAGTAGGTATGCTTCTTCCTCTTCTTCATCTTCCACTTTTACTTCGTTGGTTTTCTTTCTTGTGTGGCACATTTTGGCAAAGTGATTCTTCTTGGAGCATTCTCTGCATGTTTTCCCATATTATGCTGGACATTGTCGTCTGCCGTGGGATCCCCCCCCCCCCCACAGTACTGGCAATTACGCACGTCTTGCTGGCCACTGCTTCCTCCGCGTCCCCGCAGAGCGGATCCTCTGCGTGGTCCCCCATGCACACTCCCATGTTTGAGGGTTCTCGATCCAAAGGATTGAACGGCATCGACATTTGGCAATCTTTGCTCTTTGATTTTGGCCTTTACTCTTTCTATTTGTCTTGCCATAGTGATAGCTTTCTCAAGGGTTAAATCAGGCTCTAACTGAAGTTTCTCCGACAATTCTTTGTCAGTAATACCCAGGACTAGCCGACCCCTAATCATATTGTCCTTACCTGGGAAAGCTGTATGCTCAGAGAGTTCGTATAAACTTCTGACGTATTCTTCTATGGTCTCTGTTTCTTTCTGACAACGTTTGTGGAACTGAGCTCTCTCATGAATTACATTTCGTTTTGGGCTGAAATACCCATCAAACGTGGTCAGAACTGTGTTGAAAACATTGCTATCATCCTGTGAGAGACCAAAGGTAGACATAATCTTTTCCATTGCATATATGAGGCTACTAACTTGGACTTCTTCACTTTTCTTCGTCAACTCAGACGCAGTCCTAAATCTAAGAAAGTTTGTCTCCACGAAGCCCATGCTATCGGTTCACGAAAGTTAAAATTAGCTGGTGGTTTAAAAGTCATGTTTCTTACCGTGAGGTTTCTCCACGTTATATCCTACTCTTGTGTTGTTCTTCTGTCTCACTCACTCACATCTGACACCATGTAGCAAGGTTCACTTCACCAGTAAAAAAACAAACTAGAGACACAGACACAGCTTTATATACACCCCAGACCCTACGTTCCCAGAAGCCCTGAATCTCAAGACAATGTGAGAACTGCTCATGGAGTGTTTACAATGAAAGGGAAACAACTGATAATATAATGGACAAGCAACTGTGGTGGATTATGGATTATGTCCCATATCATTACACATGTAAAAGACTTCTGTTGACACCCACCCCTTGGCGCTCATATATGACCTTATGCAGTTGCGAGCGCCGTAAAACCCTCTACTATATAAAAAAAGACCACTAGAGCCACAGGTAGCTGTTTCTGTTGGTAGATCACTAGAGTCACAGACTGTTTCTAATTCTGTTAATATACCACTAGAGTCACGGGTAACTGTTTCTGTTGGTAGACCACTATAGACTAGAGTCACAGGCTAGGTATAACTGTTTCTGTCGGTAGACCTCTAGAGTCACGGGTAACTGTTTCTGTGGACTTTCTCCCTAGCTGACATCAAACACCTACCAAACCAGCAAAGCCATTGCCATGATAGAATTGTATCTCTGCGCCCCCCCCCCCCACTCTTTTTTTC